AAAAAAAAAAAAAAAAGAAAATTCTAGACTCTAGGAAATGTGTGGGCTTTAGAAAGGACTCCTTCCCATCCCTCAGCCCTACAATGTGTTTATCCTGCTTTTAACGTGGTGACACTTTCTCTTCTTTAGGCCTATTGTTTATTTGGTGAGCATTGCCAAAATGTGCTAGGCACGGTCCACAACTTACAGGTATTGGTACACTGATGTATTCACCAGCACAGGACATCCTGTCCTGTAAAACTCTAGGCCTTGGTTCCCTATCAGAAGTCAGGGAACATTTGACCTCTTCTGAAACTCCCGGTTTCCTGATTCTACCTAAAGCATCCTTCTGAGGAACGCAGTCCCCACCACCCTCACTGGCTCCCACTTGGCTCAGCCCATGGGATTGCGCAAGTCCTTGGCTGGCTTCAACCGGCCGTGGCTTTTTCCCGCTTGTGATCACAGCCAAGAGAAGCCTGGCACCTGGCTGTGAGGCCCACATGGATCGGAATCCCTAGAAGGACTTACCCGACGGCTTGTCTGTGGAGGACGGGAGACTGGTGAGGGTGGGCATGGTGGGCAGAGGGGGAGGCAGCACCTTCAAGTTCTGGTCACTCTGGATCTCATTGGTGGAGATCTGGTTGATGATGCGATTGTAGGTGGGTGGCTGGTAGACCCGGGGCGGGGTAGCAGGTGGTGGCTGGGGCACAGGCCTGGCTGCAGGCACCCTCTGGCAGTGCTCCTCGAGCTGCGCGATGATCTCTGACTGGTTGTGGGCCAGCGTGGCCAGGTGCTGGTATTTGTGCTCCAGGTCCTTGTACTTGCTGGCCAGCTGCAGCATGTCTGCTGTCTGGTTCAGGATCCTGTTCTCCAGCTGCGAGAGCTCCAGCGCGTTGTCCCGCTTGCGGATGATCTCGTGCAGGAGCTGCATGTAGAGCTGCGTCACCCGCGAGTTCATGTTGCGGCTCTCCTTGCGCAGCAGCTTCACCTCACTGACGATGCCGCCGTCCACCTCCACCAGCTGCTGCAGCGTCTCGATCTGCCGCTTCTGCTTGAGCAGCTCGTTGTTGAGCAGCTCCAGCTCCTGCTTGTGCACTCGGTTCTCCAGGAGCACCTCGGGCTCCTTGGAGTTGACGCAGATGGCACCTGTGACCCGTTGCTGGGGCACGATGAAGGTGTAGGTGCATTTGTCCTGGGACTCACCGGCCCGCTTGTACCTGTTCAGGTAAATGAACTCTCTTGGAGAGCCCTCCTCAGTGCCCTCAAATCCATCCTCCTGGCCGGCAGCAGCTCCCACGGCAGCCAGCAGTCCCAGCCACCAGCATGTCACGCACAGTGGCTTCATGGTCTTTGCAAAATGGTGATTGTTCTTTGTGAGTAGAATCTCTGAAAGCCTGAAAGTAAACAGAGGGGAGAATCAGTGATGCTCCTGCAAATACCAGTGCCCTGTGCCATCAGTGATCCCAGTCTTCCCCCTAGGCAGAGCTTTTCAAAAACACAGCTTCAGGAGGCCCCGTTCTACCTTCCTAGAGGCAGAGAGCCATTCTGCAAGCAACAGA